ACAATGCACATTTCTCACAGTAATAAAAGAACAATAATAATTTCTGAACTTTAATTTATGGTCAACAGTTTGGATTTCAATTCTAGAAATGCTTTGACGTACTCACAGGGTTAAATCTAATATGTTGACTTGAGCATAAAAAATGGCATAGAAAAAAATGGATCAGGTGTTAAAAAACATAAAAAGTGCACAAGATTTAATTATAAAATGCTTAACAAAACAATTTTACTTATGCATGCAGCTTATAACACCGCAATGATGCAAAAATATAAAAAAAACTAAACCCTTTTACACAAATAGTACTCAACACATCATTTTAGAATCTATTTCAAACCTTCATTTACTGTATATTTTACTGTATCAATGCACATTTGAAAAATGTCTCTTCCCATCAAAGTAAATCTGTAAAATAAGTGTGTGGCTTGAGTGAGTTTACATAGCACATTATTAAAATCGTATTAATAAAAAAACAACTGCTACAACACAAAAAGAAAAAAAAAACATGTGCCGACACTCATAGCAGTAGTTTATTCTCTTCTTTGTGCAGTTCCATCGCTTTTTAATCAGCCTTTCATTTTTTTAATGTCTGAAAGACTTAAGAGAGAAAGAGGGAGCCATTTTATAAAAGTGCTGCATTGTCCCCAACCAGTGCTACTGTTTGTCCAGCTCACATACATACATGAGATGGTCCTCAGGGGATTTCCCGTGAGTCTTGCTCAAGTGAAGCTTGACTGCATGCTTACTCGCAAAAGTCCGATTGCAGAGCTTGCACTGGTAGACTGCCCCACTGTCATCATCATCAGGGGAGGGTGATGGGGTTTCAGTTGAGGGCAGAGATGCTGTTAAGGATGAGGACAATGAAATCGGGAGCGAAGACGGTAAAGATGTCTGTAGAGAGGAGGGTAAAGGGTGGCTGGAAGGGTGAAGATTAGAGAACAGTTTTTCAGATAGTCCTTTAGAGTGACGTCGATGATGTTGGTGGGATATCTGGTTGAGTAGTTGCTCCCCAGAAAGCTTCGACAAGTCTCGCAGACGGAAGCCTAAGTGGGACTCCAGGTGGCTGACATAGGTGGATGGTGAGCGGATCTGTGAAGCACAGTCACTGCAGAAGAACACTGGGTGACCTGAATCTAAGTTTTTTAAGAACTTTGTCCCCCCGGTTCGCCTCAACTGGTACTTAACATTAGCTAGCCAGTGGGATATTGTAGTCATTGAGAGGCCTGTGAACCGGGAGATGTGCATTCTCTCCTGTGGGCTAAGGTCAGACATCATGTATTTGCCATCATTTGTTTGTCTTAAACTGGAAGCAAACTGGGCTTGTAGTATAAGGAGGTGTTGAGGGTTCCAGTTGGACTGGCGACCTTTACGTTTCTGAGCTGGTGAAACATCTTCTGTTTCCTCTTGTGTGGCACCTTCAATATCAGAGCGCTCAGATTGGCTGGTAGGTGTGGAGGACTTGGACAATGCCTGACTTTCTGTCAGGTTCCTCAACATGTCAGAAATATCTGAGAGGGCATTTTCTCTCAGTGGAGAAGTGGACATGAAGGATGCTACTGCAGCTGAGGCTTTTGTCATTGCAACAGCAGAGGATGGAGAGATTGACGGAGTAGATGTAGTAGAGGAGAGTGCTGTTGAACCCAAGGAACCACCATTACTGCCTTTGTCTAGGTTTTTTCCTTTGGTCAGATCAATAGGTTGATCATTGTTAAGATGCTGCTGGTAGAAGTAGCGGTCTAAGTGCTCATTGTTGGTCTTTTTGGTGTGTGCTGGTGGGGTGGAGGAAGCCACTGCTGCTTTTTCTGCCAGACTGTTGCTCATCTTGAACAGCATGCTCATGGGGTCAAGGGAAGGCATGGCGGGCTTGGCAGCCTTCCCTAGGTGGACATTCATGACTGACTGCAGAGCACTGAGAGGGTTGACAAATGGCTGTTCTGGAGGTGGATGGTCTGTGATAATGGCTGTGCTGCCACATAAAGCATGTATGGGTGACGTTACACCTGTGGGTTCCACTCCATTTTCTACAGACTCTTTAGTGGAAATATTGCCATTTGAATTTATGTGATTTGTTCCATTTCCATCTCCTAGTTCTTCATCAGCTACATCTGTATTCTCAGGACTTTTACAGGCCGATGCTCTATTTTCTTTGGGTGACTCTCCTCGGGCTGACTCCTCTGCCTCGCTGTTGCAGGGTGAGGGAGTCATGCATCTCAATGGAGAATCCTTCACACTGGGCTCTCTCAATTTCTCCTCTACTTTRGATACTTTCTCTGTCACTTTTTTGACTAGTTCCTCCATTGCATGGAAATTGTTTTTAGGTAAAGGAGAGCTCTGGCGGCTTGGTGATGAGATCAATGGTTGACTCTTACCAGTAGGMGAAAAAATCTCTCCTCCAGGAAACATGTATTTGAGGGGAGAGCTCTTTCCGGAGGTACCAAGAGAAAGCTTCATTATGTTTGGGAGCTGGTAGGCAGCATGGATACTAGGATATCCACCCCAGCTTGGAGCACCATTCTGAGCTTTGTTGATAGCTGATGTCACTGTGTTCTCCAAGGACTTGAGGATATCTAGACCTCCCTTTGGGCTTTCCTCAAGATCTTCTTCTGTCAGATAAGTGTATTTTGAAGAAATATCAAACTTCTCCTCAGCCACATCTTCTCCTCCAACTCGTTTATCCTTGTTGAGGTTGTTGGTGCTGTTTATAAAGTAATCTTTAGTACATTCCTCTTCCTTCTCCTCTTTTTTTATTTCAACAACCATTGCAGAGGGTGATATGCTGGCTGGAGGGGGCACCGGGGCAGGKGGAGAGGAGAAAGTTGTGGCAGCCAGTGGAACTGACTGTACTTTTTCTTCAGTGGCTGAGTTGGATATGGGTATTTGGGTGGGRGACTCCATAATTGGCTTGCCTTTCTTTATAGCAGAGTTAGTAACTTTAATGAAATGTCCTGTCACCATCATATGAGCAGTAAGCTCTTGTAGTGTGTCGTGGGAGCTGCCGCACTCCATACATTTGAGAATTTGGGACTTTCTTGATTCAAACTGCCAGGCATAGCTTGCACCATTTTGGTGTCCATAACGGTTGTTAGGTGTAATGTAGGGGTTAGTAACCTTTTGCAGGATGTCATTAGAGTCACTGAAGGAGGTGGGCTTAGGTGTGGTGCCTCCTGTTGAGTCAGGTGAGCTGGGTATGTCTAGGTCAATTGGGGCTCTCTTGCGAGCAGAGGAAATTATTTTAGCTGCCACAGGTGTAACAGGTTCTTTTAGAGGCACTTTCTGATAGTGTTTTGTCTTGATCATGTGGACACTTAGGTCCTGAAGGGATTCAAAGGAGTGCCCACAGTACATGCACTTGAGGACCTTTTGTGCATCTTCCTTMCCCTCCATCTCTAATAAGGAACGTTTTCTGGGTTTTGACCAGCGCCTAGCACCCTCACTATCTGTCTCATGGTTATCATCACGGTAGTGGCCCGTCTCATTCATGTGTACTGTGAGTTCTACTAAAGTATCATATGCTGCACTGCAGTCCTTACAGCGAAACTTGCTGGCTCCAGTGAATATTGAGCCATAAAGCTTGGAGCTCTGCCGGTAAAGCTGGACAGTACTAAAGAGGTTGGGTTCTGCTGTAGTTGTTGGTGCAGCCACTGTGGGATGCTGAACTAGGTTTAGTCTGTTGTGGTGGTTTTGAGAAGCCTGTTGGAGAGTTTTAGCCATTGCTGTTTGATGCCAGTCAAAGCCTCCACTCCCACAGCTGCTACTACTGCTGCTACTACTGCTACTGCTGTGACTGCGAGGAGGTTTCTCTGCAGGTGGCTGAGTCAGGTTCAAATTCAGTGAAGACCAATAAGAATTGCTAAGAAATGATGTGTAAATGGCCTTCATCTTCTCAAGGCTATCAGCCACAGAGCTTGTTGCAGCTAATAAGGCCTCATCTCCACTTACAGATGCATTGGCAGTGGCCACAGCCACCATAGCAGAAGACGAGGATGGGGACAGTGCATTTGAAGTGTCTTTAGGTAGGAGGACATCATCCTCATTTTTAAGTGAGGAGTTTTCAAAGTCAGACATTCTGTCACTGGATTCACTCAGGTGAGACTCACTGTCTAGCTCCTGGCTAGAAAAGTCAGCTGCATTTGGAGAATCATGGATGCCTGTGGATCCTGGCCTTTCCTTGTGCAGGAAGTCCTTGTCCTGGCATAGGAGCTTGGCAGCAGGCTCCTCCCCTTCCTGAGCTGAGTCTTCTCCATCTATATCCTCATCCAACAGGGCAGCTTCCTTCTCATCCTCAGGGACATATGCTAATAAGGGAAAGAAAGAAAAAAAAAAACGTGAAAGTTGTTAGAATCTTATTCATGTGTCTTTTAATATTCATAAATGCTTTACTTCAATAAAATATACATTGAGTCTCTTTATTACTTTAAGATATAGTTTTCTTATTGGTTAAAGTCATTGCCATCTCCCACCTTTTATTTTCAAAGTGGAAGTCTTTTCTATGTATTGCTGAAAATAAGTCAGTGAGAMAGAGAAAGAGAGAGATATGGAGGGATGAAAACAGAAACACGAAATGAGAGAGGGGAAAAATGTCTCCTCAAACAGAACTTGCCACCTTATTCTTCTCAAGGGGCAACAGCTTGAAATTAAAACTAAATTTGAAATTAATGAAGCACATTCTGGCGGTGGCATTCGTTTCTGAAGTAATAAATTACTTGTATCAACCTCGGAGACAGCGGTTCCTGTCTGTCAATTAATATGTCTTACGCTTCTTCTGCAGACTCTAATGCATTCCCTAACAGACACACTCGCCATTTAAATTAAGCATGCATTTTCACTCATTACACTGCTCAGCCTTCGCCTCCTCGTAAATAAAAAAAATGTATGTATGTTTGCCTGCGACAAATCTCTCCTTGCAAAAGCCATTTGCTTCAATTACCAAAGATTAGAAAAAAAAAGTTTAGTTATTATTTACAGTTTAGCTTCAGGGAGCGTGCTTGCAGCTTTCAATTTATATTCAAATCTCTCTAGTTTAAGAATAATACAATGGAAATCATACAGGGAGAATATGTATCAAGACAAATCATAATCTCGCCTCTGTACATATCTGATTTTTTTTTTACATAAGTCTAAAAAGCAAAATCAGATCAGGCATGGTTTATGTTCATGTTTTGTAACCACGTTTGGGTTTTCAAATTGTTAAAGGACACACAGGTGCATATATGCAAAAAAGAAAAAAAAACATTGCAAGTTTTTTTTTTAATAAATTTTTTTGTGCAACAAACAAACGAACAAAAAGTATTAAGTTCCAGTACTTCTTGTGACATACCATCATTTATCTAACCCGGTATTCATTAAAATCCAACATTTGTAAAGACTTTGGAAAAAGCTGAAAGAAAACGGTCTGAATGACAGAAAAGAAAGTTTGTGTAGTACAGCAAAATAAAATAAAATAAAATAAAATACAAAATCAAAAGACAGTTTACTACCCATGGTTTAATATAGACTGAAAATAGAGAGAATAGTTAAAAGGAGGGTTCTACCTGCTCATGCTATTATACCACACACTTGAGCTATATATTGCCAACTTCCATCTCTCACTGAGCTCTGCAAGTGGTTTGTATGTGTGTGAATTTCTGCATGTGCTGGTACTGCATGAGCAGCAAAACAGAAAGGAGCCTTTGTCATTGTCAGGCCTTTTGTTGCCATCGGCGATGATACAACACTGCTGTGGGATAAACAGATGCACAGAGACACAGATATCCCAGAGCTCCTCACACATTTCATACACACGCACACACACACACGCACACACACACACGCACACACACACGCACGCACGCACACACACACACACAGCGCTGTACTGTAAGTGTTGCAGAGTAACAACTCTTTGCCTTCAGGCAAGCATTTGGGTTTCTCTGTTGAACATGCAATCTGTTCCAGCACTCAGTCTTACAAAAAAATATTCATCTGAAAGATGTCAAACATGCTTATATCTTCAGCTTAAAAAAAATAATTACAAGGATCACATGACACACAACAGCACTGCAGGTATTTATGTATTTTTTTCTTTTGAGTAAGCTATATTTTAATACATTAAAACAGTTCTGCTGCACATTATAACAATGGCAGAGACATTAAGCACACACACAGAATAAGGAGCCTTCATGGTCGACCCTCTTTCAGAGCTTCTTCATTTCTCCGTGTCTCCGTCTGTCTTACCCTCTCTCTCCACTTCTGTGTCAGAGACACATTTGCTGTCTGCACATACGTGCAGCTGAGGAGACCCACATGTACATGCCATCTGTTCTGCATCAGCCAAACGACAGCTGTTTAAGAGAACAATGCTCTGACTGAGGAAACAGTTGAACACAGCAGCCGGGTGCTCTCATTGTGGCCAACATCGATGTGAAATCACATTTTAAAGCAGAACAATCACATTAAATTAGCTCTGTTTGTGGAAGACAGACAAGGGATGTATTTTGTGTTTTATGTGTGCACCTGCATGTAGGTACAGCATTACGTCAAGAGGTATAAGCATAAAACCATACGTATTAATGTACTATAATGTGCTGAATAAAATATGGGGGCTAACTTCATCCACATTCTACACATTGAACAAAAAGAACATGACTGAAATGACTAGTTAAGCAGATCCAAGGCAAAATACCCCCCACCCCCACTCCCACCCCAGAAAATAGCCTGACAGATGTTTTCAATATGTTTATTGTCAGTTTTACTCACATCCCACCAACAACACATCAGTTACATGCAGAAAATCTAAACTGTGTCATCATCAATTCCTATGTTCAAAAATAAAAAGCAGCGCTCTTTGAACGGGTCACATGCTTCCTCGTGTGCTAATATTTTAAACAAATCTGTTAGCACTCAGAGTATGCATTGAGGCTGCTCTTACCACATCAAATTTTAGTTCTATTTCTGTAAAAAACAAACAAATAAACAAACAAACAAACAAATAAAAAAGATTGAAATAATTTATTGTTGTTGCTCTRATACCATTTAACTGTGGTGTCTATTTTGAACTGGATTAACTCCACATAGTGTTTACTTTCTGGAAGTTTCAGAACAATCTGTTCAGTGGTTCATGTGATTTTTTTTTTTCACGCACACATGGTTACATGGCCCACCTTTCATGACTACGAGTGATAATTAGTAACATTCTACTTGTGTTATGATTAAATATACTAAGAAAATAGAATTACCAGTGGATTTTCTTCTTATTCAGGGGCATGAATATGATTAGTGACACATGCATTTTTTTTATTTGTTCATTTATTAAAATAATTTGTATTTCTGCTTTATTAAGCTTTTTAGTAAGTTGCATTACTGACATGTGTGGCACCTGCTTGTATGTATTTATACAACACTGGAGCATGGTCTTACTTTATTGCTATTTATTTCTCAGGAGCCAATAAATGTATAGTCTTGTGAGATCCAGGGTTAATATAAAATTGGAGACTGATGTAAGTTGAGGTCATCTGCAAACAAATGGCATAATTAAAGGAAAGTTATCAATGCAGAAGGTAATAGTGTATTTTTAATGTTGATAATTTAATAACAAAACGCTGAAACTATGACAAAAAAGTGCCTTGTAGCTTATTGGAAATTAATACAATAATTAACATATTTTACCTCAAGAAAATCACTACCTCGAGGTTCACTTTGGGTATGAAAGAATCAGTAACAGACTAAAACTCCAGATGACATACAGCTGCAGCACTGCTTTGAGATAAACACAAAAACAGCCTGCATGTACGCTCTCATTAGTTACTATCAGTGCTGAAGGTACTAAGTTGGACTTTACTGCCAGCTACTAGCATAATAAAAAAATGTAATTATGTGTTTTTAGTCGCCTAAAGASAGTAGTTCTTTCTCTTGAAAAATGCTTTAACTGTGTTTACAATGTGTACAAGAAGTGCAGTATTGAGAAAAGCCACCCTATTTGTTGTCTCGTGGTGTATTTATTGTTGCAGTACCTGCAGTTAACAAAATAAAAATTAGCAAAATTTATAAAGTAACCAAAGGAATAAAAGCAAGTGAGGCATCAATTAATGCAATAAAGGAGAAGAGGGAGGAGGAGGAGTAGGAGGAGAGAAGCAGGACTTGGAAAGAAGGCAAGACAAAGGCCACACACTCGCACTCATCACACAAACATGCAGAGATGTACCCCCCTCCCCACCCCCCACGCTATCCCACCTCCAATCCAAGGCCATTGGCTTTGACCCAAACTGAGAGGTTCACAACACCACAACCCAAAAATACTGAGATTAATGTGGAGAAACACAGCCACACACAAACACACACAAAAGCTCCGGAGTGGGAGTGGGGCCAAACACACCAGGTATGCAGGTGCTCTTTTAATTAGAGGAAAGAGAGATGGAGAAAGTTCCAGATGAACTGTCAGCAGGGTGGATGACGAGGTTGAATCTCAAGCTTGGATAAAACAGGATGCGTGCGACAGCTATTTTTTGGGGGAAAAAAACACATTATAGCTATTTTGTTTGAAGCTGGGAGACCTTTAGAATACGTTCTTCACATTTGCACAGAATTACAAGTCTCGTCCATAATACCAGATTTAATTTTAAGTAATATGGTGCCAGAATGGAAGTGAGTGGAACATTTGGAATTAAAGCGTTACAGAAAATACTTAGAAAGATAATGAAGCTGAACAACATCTTTGTATTCCTGTCTGCAAAGTGAGGAAGTCTTTTTGTGCATTCTGCAGATGTTATGATGTTAGGAAACCGTTTATCATGCTTATATAACCACTTAACAGCCCTATCAGACACACAGGCACGTCAACGCTGTCTGTTTACACTTCAGCTTAGATCGAGCAGTTTCTCTCTCTGAGTGTGTGAGAAGGAAGGGCTGTGGGGGCTGGGGAGAGACACATCAGTCTCATCTGGGGCAGTGATTTTCTCTTTTCTTTTCTTTTTTTTTTTGTTCTGCCACAAAGCATTTTGTTAGATGTTACGTGAAGAGCAACACTCACTAAAAGTTTCTCAGATGTTCTCTTTTTGTGTTTTTCTGTATGTTTATTGCCTTCCATGTCTTCAGTCTTCCACCATTTCCCATCTAATGAGATGCAATAATCCCCCCACCCCACCTCCTCCACTCATTTCTGTCGCCCTCCAATCACCAGTGCAGCCTACATTAATGAAGTTAATTGAATCTAAGATCGATAATGCTTAATTATTGTGATTTGACATGCGTAGACAAATTGGTCAGAGGGGTTGAGTGTGTGTGTGTGTGTGTGTGTGTGTGTGTGTGTGTGTGTGTGTGT